AATAGTATTTCCCACGGAGGACGAGAAATTTGAACCGCAATTTGAACCGCAACTTGATAAAACAAAACCGTAAGCAGCCTTCGCGAGAGGATTCTTCGGGCGATCGCAGAGCAAGTAATATCATAGATAAAAATCATAGTGAAGGTGGTCTACGAATACAGTGCTACCCATATTCTAGTTAACGCATTATGGTTGATGACCTACAGCGCTGAAAAACAATACACAAAATAGGGCCTACTGGGGGAAATATAGTAGGCAGTTATGAATTGCAAAACAGCCTTCATCGGTTCCAGCCTCGATTCCTCTGCAAATGGAATTATATAGCCCAAACAAAGGTTCAAAAATAATTTATTATGAGTAATTTGTCGTGACATTTCCTGCAGAAAAGGTTTTTGAATTTAGAAAAAGCCCACCATCCTCTGATATAAAAAGACCATAGAGTCTTAAGTTGCTGCTAACAGTTAAACTCAAAAACACCTACCTCCCCTACGACATACGGCATACGGTTTATAATATTCTCATGGAAAAGTTTCCTGACGCTCATTGTATTTTGTGTATTTATACATTTTGGAAGAAAAGTTAACAGAGCTTCCGGTATTAGACTGCCAACGACCGTCGGTGGGACTCATACTTGCGCGCGCTTTAAAAGACCGAAAACACATAATTTCCATAAAAAATAATATAATAAATTCGTACATACATTGAAAGCCAATGCACAACGTCTGCTTGTTAAACAAGGACACATTTTTCGAGGATGGCTTGCCTGGCTGGTTGAAAACACTCGCTTGAAGGTTCGTTTAATCGCAAGACTTTGAGGGACATAACACGAGTCTCGGCATATACTTCAGGTAGTCACCCTAAAGATCCCTCGACGACAAAGAGCCAAAGTACGCTTCAAACCCGAGTGGTAACAGGAAGAGAATCTGCACAGATTTTTGTGACTGAACATATCAAAGAAGACATGTGTAATCTTGTAGCGTTGGTTGGTAAATGGTCATGTGGCGACCATTGAGGATGTCTCTATCTCTGGTAACGGTCTTCTGTTTGAGTTTAAATGCGCAGACTAATAATTTGATAGTTTCAGTGTTCTAGAAGTCTTGTTTATCTAACATGAACTTTTTGCGTTCCGTAGAACAGTAGCAAACAAAACAAGGCCACCACTTTCCTCATAACCTTTCCAGGTATGACAAATTGAGTCCATAAACGAATACTCCTCAAATTATGATGGTTTACAAATGTAAATGGGTAGATTTCAACGAGAGCAAGCGGCTGATAAAATGCAAGGCAACGGCATAAATGTTAAATTTTGGTTACGTTACCTGAACAGGTTCTTTGATACAGAGCACCTTCTGGAATGAGGGCAAAATGAATGTAGTGAATTCGTCCCGATCTATTTTGTCAACTATCTCCAAAATTGGGGGCAGCACAAAAGGAACCATAGTGGGGTTGGCAAATTCCTCCGACAATTGGGAGTAGACGCGGTGCAAGTTGATGCGCTGGAACGAAAATGAATAATAAAAGATGAATGCAGCGTAAAGACGTAAAATTCCATGAAATATATCTAGGGTTCAAATGCCTCATTCGAATTTTTGGTCATATATGTTGCTGTTTAGGAAGAAAACTAAGGTGGATGGTAGACAGATCTATTCTAGAGAAAGGCAGTTAACAAAAAACAGCTCCAAATTAGCTTGTAAAGCTTCACGAAAGATGGAATATTTTTGGGACGAAATATAGCCTCGAAATTAGACAGAGGGTAATGTTGAAGAATTTGGATTTGTTTACGTAGACAAACCGTACAAAAACACAGACGTATTGACGCGATATTGGTTTGGAAAACTAATGAACGCTTATGTGTGGACAGATTAACAAATGTGCACATTAAAATTGGTGTGCACCCCTATGCAGAAACAAGTCTTCAGTTAAGACAGTCATTTGTGACGACAGGCCGTCAGAGCGTCCGATTAAGTTTAAAAGACGAGCTAATTACATGTCCTTTTGTTACTGTTGGAAAATTCCAATAATTTACTGAAATCAAAGATAGTCTTCTAACCTTTGGTAGGATTCGGATTGATACGCGAAGGTTCTTGTAGAATCTGGAGCGGGCCAGGTTGTCCAGCTGTCGTAACTCGTCGAGACTTTGAAGAGCAGAAACGCCGGGGTCTTGGAAGTATGACAGCTGATATAAGAAATGAAAAGAAAAGGAAAAATGTAGGCCAGAAACAGTTAGGTTTACTTTTCGAAAAGTAAGTGGAGGACACTGGCATCCTCCAAACAGACCGCGTGGTAGATGCGTTGGACCAACACGGGAAGAAGACCCGGACATGGCAGGTGCTACGCGGGTAGCGATTCCATAACAAATGCCGAACGTGGGCGTGTGGTGGCACGCCTAGGTGCAGGCTCACACTGCGCCAGCCAGCCACCGGTGCCCAAACCTGTCCCTGCTTCGACACTGGACAAAGGTAGATGAGGGAAGCGGGAGTGCGGTCAATGCGGCACATATCTTCTATTAATATAAAACTAATCCACACGCAAGCCACCGTCTCTGCACTACCATTCTGTGGAGTACATGGTGTACTTGGCCCGAATCGACGGTGGAACTGCCATGTGCCGTTACAGGGCGTAGGAGTGCTGCATTTGTCTTGTGCAGGTGGTGAATGCTCCTGTGTAGGTCCTTAACTATCATCTAAGTCTTACTTGTGAACCCTCGAATCTAGGCTCTGCCAATACAAGCGAACATCCGTGTCCCAGGAAGCAATTGAGAAGAAG